ACCTAATCCTGCAAGGTCTCATACGGTCGGGCAACCTCGAAATTGGTAAATGGTCTCCCTCGGGAGTGGCGCTTAAGCCATTTTACTTTACAATCAAACCAAAATTTTAGGGTAGTTTTATACATATATTTACTTCAAAAATCAAAAGAAAAGTTTATCGATGGAGCCTTCAGTGTAAAATTGAACGCATTTTCGCTTGATGCCCTCCATCAAAGTCTTTACAGTGTCATCCGGTACCAGTTTCTCAGTTTTATTTTCCATTTTCTTAACATGTCCTTCTCGTCCTTGACTGTCTTCTTGCTCTTCCGAAGTTTCCGCTTCATTATTGCCCAGTACTGCTCCACCGGGCGCAGCTCCGGACAGTTAGGCGGATTCATGTCCTTTAGAACAAAATGGACAGAATTGACCTCATACCACTCCAGGACACTTTTAGAATAGTGCCATGATGCCAAATCTGGCCAAAATAGCGGAGCTTCGTCGTGCTGCTGCAAGAACGGCAAAAGGCGCTTCTCGAGGCACTCAGATTTGTAGATCTCGCCACTTACTGTGCCCTTTGTCACGAAAGGCTCACTCCTCAGACCACAAGAGTAGATGGCCTGCCATTCTCATATCTCATTTATTTGGAGGCGAACTTCGACATTTTCTTCTTCTTAAATTTGTCGTCCACATCGAACTTGCTCTTGCCGGTGAAAAACTCCAACCCCGGAATTTGCTTAAAATCGGCTTTTATATACGTTTCGTCGTCCATCACACAGCAGCCATATTTTGTCAGCATTTTTTCGTAGAGCTTCCGTGCCCGAGTTTTAGCCGTCGATTGTTGCCGCTCATCGCGGTTTGGGAAGTTCTGTACCTTGTATGTATGTAGTCCAGCTCTCTTCTTTGCATTCTGGACGTAGCTCTGCGACATGCCGATCTTTTTAGCCAAATCACGGCTTGAGACGTTGAGATTTGCTTTAATCATCCGCTTCACCTTTCCCTCCGTCTTTTTGTTCTCCGGTCCCGGTTTTCTTCCAGCTCCTTTGCCGTGGTTCAACGTCAACCGCTCCTGGAACCGCTTCAACACTCTGGAGACGGTTGAATGGTGAATGTTCAACATTTTTCCCAACTGCCGGTGCGACAGGTCAGGAAATTCCAGGTGTTTGGAAAGAATTTGTTCTCTCAACTCACGTTGGTTCACCTCCATTTTCGTTGAATCGAAAAACACGACTTCGAGTTTGACAGCATGTACACAATACACATCAATGAGAAAGTGTGCAAAATTTGGTTGATTTTTACCCAATGGTAAAAAAGTTATGCCCTGTTGAATGTGTCGCAATAATTTCGTGTTCGACCTTTACACAGTAAACGTAAGCTGCATGTACAGTAATGACTCGATTTTATCAGCCCCTCCGCGCATCAGACTTTTAACTTTCAATAATTTCACATAACCCTTAGTCCAACTCATTCTCATTCATCTTCAAGATGGATGTTTCAGGTCTACTTTTGAACAATAGACCACTGGAAAAAAGCGCATGGGTATCTTGGAAAATTGAAAAAGAGTACTGACAAAATCGGGCTATTCTTGCATACCGCTCTCCATTTGATCTAGCATACATGAATAGGACTAATGTAGGGTAGAGGTATCAGTTATCAGTCATCCCTAATAAAAATACCATTAACGAATGATAACCCAAATTATTGAACTATTCCACAAATGGTTTGGATGATACCCCAAACACGTCGTTAAGCAAATTAGCCATTACATTTTTATTAGGGATGGTAGTGGTGTTGTGGTGCCATTGTGGTGTGTTCATATCAGGCGTAACATTTGATAACGGCAGAAAAACTTTTGTAAACAAACATTGTAAGGTCCTTTGCACTTGAACCAAGGGTTGGTCACTCTACAAAGTGTGCCAAAATCAAACTTGGGCACCCCCGGGCGCTGTTTGGCACCCATGGTTACAATTTTTATGATCTTTAAAGCTACTGGCAACACTGAACTTTTTCTGCGCTTCAGTGTGCATGTGTCAAAATTTGTTATTGATGTTGCCACAATATAATCAAATTATTTTCAAAACAACCGTGAATCTCCACCAATGCCATGGTCTCGCCATGGATTCTCAAAATCGTTACACCCGTGACGGCAGTCGCATCCACATTTCCTCCCAGACGAAGAACAGATGACAGCGGTATCTTGACCTGACCGAGGTTTCCGGCTATGGCTACACGAACTAGCGATGTAGCTCTCACGGCTGCGGCTGCTTCCAATTCTGCTGCTGGTCCGTCTTTTTTTTATGAATTTTAGAGTAGACGGACCAGCAAAAGGAACAGCAGCAGCAACTAAAGCAGAAGCAGCATAGGAAGCAGCCGCAGCCGTGGGAGCTGAATCGCTAATTCGTGTAGCTGTGGCCGACGCTGGAAATCTCGGGCCGGTCACGACAAGCGGTGCTTGAGTTCTAATCGGAAAGTCAACCAAACAAAAACTATTCCATCCGACCATAAGAACTGCTCGAATACATCCATCGCCACTGCTACTACACCACCAGCACTTCATGATGGCGTTCACCACCAGGGCTACGCTCGGGAACTCAACCAATCCGGAGGAGGAAATTTCCGATATCAGCGGGAACATTCGCACTTGCGACGGGTGGCAGTCCTTGGTGGTGAATGCAGTCAGCAGCAGATCCTCGGACGGCATACGGGTGGGGTATTGAAGAAGTGGTGCGATTTTTGCTGGCCTGGGAAGTGATTGTTCTTGGAGGCGTTGTAGACCTTGAAACTGATTGAATTGTGCGGCAGGGTGTACGTTTAACTGCGATGGCGTTTCCATCTAGATCATGGCAGCAACATTCCCATACAGGAAGGTCAGATTGAACAGCTTATCGGTGTTGGCTGTGTTGTTATCGAGTCCGTAGACCATCATCACTGCGCCCTGTTGCTGTGTGGGTTGGATGAAGTTGACTGGTCCGTTTCGGGTCAGCGATGCGTCCTTCATCAGTCCGACGTGTGTTCCGGCCGGTGTTGGTTTCCAGTTCTCCGACAGATGATACTCGGGCGGTGACAAATTCGGTGCAAATCCTCCGCCGGCTCCCAGAAGGACTGGTTGACTAATGATTGACTTTCGTTGTGCGGGGTCGGCCTTCCACCGAAGATTGATGTTTTTGAAAACATTGAAAATCAAAACAAAAACAAGAGTTGTTAAAATACCGGGTTGCCAAACAAGGCATTATTCACAAGCAAACAAAAGTCAGTTCAATGACTTCTTCTACTTCATGGCACTGCCGATACAGTTGCGGCACACTGAGGTACACTGAGAAAAATGTTGGCGCAAAATAAGTGTGTAGAGTGACCACCCCTTGACTTGAACCAAAGTACGCCCATGCAAACCAATACCACTTTCGGAAAGGTAAGAGTTGTCCCTACCCAATGATGTTGTTGGTTTGCGTGGGCCTTACAAGGTTTGTTAACAAAAGCTTTTGTGCCGTTATCAAATGTTACGCCTGATATAATGGCATATGAAATTGCCATATCCCATAATAGGAACCATAGGAGCCATCATTTCTAAATCTACCCTATAACAATGACTAACGGTCCACTTCACGACATATACTTTTTGCCTGTCGCAAAAAAGCACACTTTGACTGTCGTGAAAGACGAATGGCTCGGATCGACGTATACTGTTCCCAAAGATGCAAAAGCGTGATCAAAATTGTTTACCCCCTAAAGTTGATCTTCAAGCGATTGTTCCTTATCACCGATTTCTGAAACAAACAGCGTCCATCGTATGACGTTTGCAATTTTGTGATTAATCCTCCTAAAAGGGAGAGGCAAAATTATTATTACCTAGAAATGCTTAAAAAGCATTGAGCAAACATAGATAAAAATATTTTGTAAATTTCAACTATCAACTGGAGCAAGGTATTTAAATATAAAATTACACGAAATTCAATGAATGAAAACTGAAAATTACACGTTCATGTAAATTTATATAGTTGTTCGTTGAAAATTAAATCAAATTCAATCGAAATTATGACATCTATTTAAAAAAAACACACATGCATATACAATTCAATATAATGTATTATCAAATACTATCATGTAAAATTAATGTTGTTTTGCTGTATGTTTCAACTAAGGGCAAAACATACGTTAATGTGCCATATGTAAATTTCAAAAGTTTTTGCTGTGAAGTTAAAAGCATTATTATTTAAAACAGCAAAGAAATGGGTTATCTTCCATTTCATTCCACTTAATTAATTTTGGAATCCATACGAATTTCGGCTGCAATGTGCAATCTTCATCAGTGTCATTCCCACTAAAGAACTTATCAAAACATAACCCCCATAAGTACTCATTCCCTAGGAAAAAATGCCAAGATCACAGGTATAAAAATGAAACTACAATGTGTAGAACCGGAACCTACCTAACTAAAAATAACAAAATATTTAAGTAAAGCAAAGGAGAAAAATCTATTCAAATCTCTAATAAGGAAATTCAATATTATTTATTCCAAACACGGTTCTCAAACATTTAAATGGACTATTAACCACGCAAGGATTCTAAAGGGAACTCAGGGATGATTTGTGGACAGCCTGTAATATTTCCTACAGCTTTACGTAGCTCTTCACTTTTAGGGGACTCAATAATAAAACCACAATTGTCATACGATGGGGACAATTTGTTTGAAAAATTGCTTTGAAGACACCATAGCCCCAATTTTTTTTTTGCGGTGAATCAATTTGACCACGTTTGTGCATCGTTGGTAACAGTGTGCGACGCGTGCACTGACGAAAAGCGAAATAAATGCGCTATAGCGAAGTGAACCCCATTCCAAAAGAAATGTTTTACACCATGGCATCGCGCTCTAATCAACTTATTTTGGATTCTGATGTAGAGATACATCTTATCTAAAGCAAAACGAAATTATCGTTATCTCTGATGAAATACTCACTTTTAACGGTTAGTCATATAAATCGACCAGTCAGTTGATGTCATCATTCAGTTGATATCCAGCTTTCAAACTGCTTGGACGTAGCCGCCGTGTTGGCGAATTATATCACGTAACAATGAGTGTGTGGGAGTGGCTTGCGGTGTTCGTTCCTATAGTGACGTATCTGGTATACCGATGGAGCGTCGCCACCTACGATTTCTTTGAAAAGCGGAAGATACCATTCGTGAAACCTTACCCTCTATTTGGAGGATTATGGCCCGTTTTCACCGGAAAAGTTCACCCAGTGGATGGTGCCGTTTTGGGGTACGACATGTTCCCGGATAATCGTTTTTCGGGATTCTTTACGTTTCGCAAACCGGGATACCTGATTCATGATCCAGCGCTGGTGAAACAGATTACGATTAAGGATTTTGATCATTTTACGGATCATATGAATACGATTTCGGTTGATGTGGATCCCGTTTTTGGACGAGCGTTATTCTTCATGGAAGGTCAACGGTGGCGTCACGGTAGATCCGGACTAAGTCCAGCGTTTACAGGGAGCAAGATAAGAAATATGTTTACACTGTTGTCAAATAATGTGGAAGGAGCCATGGGACGTTTGACGGAAGATGCTGGTCAAGGAAAGATGGAGGTGGAGGTACGTGATCTGTTTCAAAAGTAAGTGATCTCACCTGGTTGATGAATGAAGATGGTTGTTATGATTTTTGCGTCTGTTTCAGATTAGGCAATGACATCATCACGTCCATTTCGTTTGGTGTGGAGATCGATTCGGTGCATAATCCAAATAACGAATTTTTCAAAAAAGGAAAGAAATTAGCCGCGACAGGTGGATTCCAAGGATTTAAATTCTTCCTATCTATCGTGGTTCCGAATAGTGTCTTCAAATTTTTCGGAATACGATTCCTTCCTAAAGAAGCAGCTGATTTTTATGTTGATGTCGTATCAAAAACCATTAAACAGCGAGAGGAGCACAACATAGTCCGACCTGATTTCATCCATTTGTTGGTTCAAGCTCGCAAAAATGAACTAAAAGAAGAAAAAGGAGACGAAAATCTGAATAGCGCTGGATTTACAACGGTAGAAGAGCACATGAAAGCATCAACTGAAAACAGTCAATATTCTGATTTGGACATCACAGCAGTCGCTGCGTCGTTTTTCTTTGGTGGCATTGAAACCACGACTACTTTGCTCTGCTTTGCCATCTACGAAGTAGCTTTAAAAAAAGCCATTCAATTGAAACTGCAGGCGGAAATCGACACCGTGCGAGAGGAACTTGGAGGAAATCCATTGACCTACGAAGTGCTTCAAAAAATGAAGTACCTGGACATGGTCGTAACGGAGACATTGCGCCGATGGCCACCCCTAGGAATCACGAACCGAGTTTGCGTCAAACCTTATACCTTCGAGGACTATAATGGAACCAAGGTCACCATAGAAAAAGGACAACTAATCCAGATTCCCGTTTACTCGTTCCACCGTGATCCGAATTTCTTCCCGGATCCATACCGCTTCGATCCGGAACGATTCTCCGATGACAACAAGGACCAAATCAACCCGGACGCGTTCCTACCATTTGGAAGTGGACCCAGAAATTGTATCGGATCACGGTTGGCTCTGATGCAGGCCAAGTGCTTGCTGTACTACTTGTTTACAAACTTCTCGGTGGAATTGTCGGACAAGATGGACGTTCCGATTAGGTTGAACAAAATGTCCCTGACTCTGGATGCGCTGAATGGATTTTGGTTCCGGTTGGTGCCGAAAAATGTTAAACTGTGAGGCGGTTTTGGTTTTGGAATTATTTTAGTAGAAATAATTTTTTTTTTGGAAAAAGATTTCAAATTCTACTTATACGAGACTTATAAAACGAAGCATTAGTATTAATGTACACCATAAGGATTTGAAAATAAAAAATAAAAACCAATGAGTATTAACGTTAATGTATTCCCAACAAACATTGGAAGCATGATAATGTTCAGTTAAAAAATTGCTTATTCAGTCTTTAATCAGCTCAAATTGTTTGTTGGGTTATACTACAAAAGTTTGCATGTATTTTGATTTTAAACGAACCATTTATAATTTTCTATATTAGACGCTATTCTTCTTTATGCTTATAAACTATGACTACAAAATCGATACATATAGCTTGGAATTGATTTCAGATTTCATTGGAAATATTATTGCAAATCTCTTGGAATTCAATTCAGGAGTTGTTTGGAGCTCTTGTCAGAATTTTCAAGGAATTATGGTCATGATTCCCTTTGGAATACTCCTGAGCTTCTCCTTGCATTCCCCATAGAATTCTCCTCATAGTTACCTCATAATACCCTTGGGATTCACCAGCAGTTCTTGTCGCAAAGCCCATTGAATTCTTTTCAGAACTACCATGAAACTCTCCATGAAAGTCCTAACGAATACTTGCCAGAATTTCTTAGAAGTTCTCTGCAGATTGCCCTTGTAATTGATGAATTAATGTCACTAAAATTAATGTCTTTAAGAAAATGCTAGGCTCTTTGAATTTACCCTTTCGCCTTGTCGTAGTAAGCGGGGCCGTTTTCGCAACCTCTGTCGAGGCGTACACGTCTGGATCGATAGTTAATTTTTGACATCCTCTCAACGTAATGTAAATTTTTCATCTCTGCAGAAAAATGATAAATTTGAACGATCGTACTCCAAGTCTCCGTCATCATCAAACTCTATGGTTTCCACGAACTTTCATCTGCATAATCGGTTAGATCGCCATTGTAACAAGTTAGAGGTGATTCCCTGTAGCGTCCTTTTTCGCGATACACTTCGCAATTTCACATGTAAAAATAATAAGGTTTCTGTGAATGCACTTAGCTGAAACTACTACTTGTTGTTTGCTGCGGAGAAGCAAGCAATGTCTGGAATTTGCAAATGTATAAACCTCGTAGATCTTGAGTTGTGTGCTCTTGAAATTGCGAGGTGTGATGGAAAAATAGACTCTACAAGAAAACACCTTAAACGTGTTCATGTGTCACGTTTTATATAGTATTATTATAAAAGTAGTACTTTGGTTGGACAAATAAATAAATAATTATTTTTAAGCTAAATACCTGCCTTATTCAATTAAAAGCCAGAACACAATGAATGCGGCTAAGTGAAAAAAGCGGACAATTTGACACTTGGCATTACAATTAACAGTTCGGTGTTGATCATTCATAGCCAGCCATCAACTCAAAATCGGTAAGCATCGGCTCTCTGTAACTGCCACTAAGCCTCGATTCAAAGTAAATCTGGACGCACGGTTTAATACACCACCGCGCCCCTGGTGGTTGGAACAAAAAACGTTTGACAGGCATTTGTTGGTGTTTTATTGACGAAGAAATTGGTGAAAAGTTTTTGTCGATTGATCGACGCATCCCGAAATTACGGATCATGGAACTTGAGAAAAGAAAATTAATTGTGCACAAATATCTAGAGAACCCTTCGTGGTCTGCCTCAAAAATAGCAAAAGTGTTAAAATTCAAAAGTCAACGGTGAGTCTTGTAATCAAACGTTACAAGAATACTCTGAGTGTGGATAGAGCACAGCGCATCTATCATAAAAGTGGCACTAGGGACAATGAGCTAAGGAGAAAGGTGTTGAGGTACGTGAAAAGCAACCCAGGTGTCTCCATACCTGATTTGGCAGAGAAATACGATTTCAACTTTTCCACCGTGCGTAACATCCTTTCAAGAGAAGGATATAAGTCTTTTTGTGCCAGTAAACATCCGAATCGCTCCCTAAAAAAAATGTTAAGGGCTAAAAACCGAGCACGATTACTATACGAACGAGTTTTGACGAAATTTGATTACTGTATTTTAATGGATGACGAAACATATGTCAAATGGATTATAAACAAATCTCTGGACGAAAATTTTTCCTTGGCAACTGGTGGTGGGGATGTCTCTTCCAGGTATAAATTTGTTTTTGCTGATAAGTTTGCTCGGAAACTAATGATTTGGCAAGGAATCTGCAGTTGTGGCCTTAAAACCAAGGTTTTCATCACATCTCACACAATGACGTTGAAGGTTTGCAATAAAGAGTGTCTGAAAAAGCGGATTTTACCCTTCATTCGGCAACACAAGACCAACGTTGTGGTTTGGCCGGATCTAGCCAGTTGCCACTACTCTAAGGAGGTACTAGAATGGTATGCTGCAAACAATGTTAATTTCGTCGCCAAAGAGATTAATCCTCCGAATTGCCCTGAGTTCAGACCGATCGAAAAATATTGGGCAATTGTCAAGCGAAAACTTGCGGTAAAGAAGTGACAAATGAACAACAAATGCGTTTAAAGTGGAATAAGTTCGCCAGTACAGTGCCACCAGCGACTGTGCAGATCATGATGGCATCGATCACAAGTAAAGTGCGACAGTTTGTTCGAAACGGTGAAATGTAATAACTTGTTAGGGGAATTTACGTATTCTCGGCAACCTAAGCAGCGATCTTCTTTCTATAGCCTTTTTCTCTATGGAACGCACACATATGCAGTATTGGTTTGTTTACAAACATTTGCTGCCAGCTGCTCTAACAATTTCAGTCGAAAGAATTGTCAAAAACTGTTTTGAAACGCTTTTACAAAGCTCCAATCTTCTCTAGTGAGAGCGAGTATTGTCGGCAACCAGTTTTTCTTCGGCAACCGTTCCATTTGAACTGCATGTAAATCTGCTGTTCTATTATCGGCAACTCGAAATCAGCTACAATTTGTAGTGCGTGTGTTTCATTTCAAGAAAACCCTGCTAGATTGCTTTTTCTCAGTGGTAAAAATATAGTCAAATTGAAGCTGAAAGCATAAAGAATCGTTTGCATGCATTCAGCGAAGTGTTTTCGTAAGAAAATCCAGTGAAAATAGTGTTTCAATTTGGGTTGCCGAAAATAGTCTGTCATGCCGAAGCCGTCATTTCCCCTATATATCGTTTGAAAGCTGAATAAATACCCTTTTGTTTGACGTTTTGATCAACCGTGTATGTTGTTTAATTCTTGAGTTACGATCACTTTAATGCGTCCAAATTTACTTTGAATCGGGCTCTATGGCGCCATCCCTCCGTTGTTTAACATTTCCGACTTGTTGTTGCCTGAACACTATCGACCTTCTAGACAATATGTACCTCCATACGTACACTGCTGACCTTGCAAAAGATAATGCGCATAGGATAGTTATTGGGTAGAATAGTTTCAGATTCAACTGTCCAATCTTCTGCCATTAGTCAGTAACGTGTTTGTCCACCTCAGACGTTCTCTAATCAAAGCAGGCACCGAAGTTGAAAACTAAAGAGCATAATGTCCGTGTTTGTGTGGCTTGCTCTGATAATCCCCATCGTAGCATATTTGCTGTACCGCTGGAGCGTCGCCACCTACGATTACTTTGAAAAACGCAACATCCCATTCGTGAAACCATATCCTTTCTTCGGCGGAGTGTGGCCCGTTTTCTCCGGAAAACTTCACCCAACGGATGCTGCCGTTTTAGGGTACGACATGTTCCCGGAGCGCCGTGTCTCGGGATTGTTTAACTTTCGCAGCCCGGGATACCTGATCCATGATCCAGCGTTGGTTAAACAGATTATGATCAAAGATTTTGATCATTTCACGGATCATTTGAGCACAGTTACGGTGGATGTGGATCCTGTTTTCGGGCGAGCGTTATTTTTCATGGGAGGTCAACGGTGGCGTCATGGGAGATCTGGATTAAGTCCAGCGTTCACGGGGAGTAAGATGAGGAATATGTTTACATTGTTGACGAAGTACGTGGATGGAGCAATGCAGCGTTTGGTGACAGATGCCGGTCAAGGGAAGATGGAGCTAGAGATACGTGATCTATTTCAAAAGTAAGTCCTTTTTGTATTTTTCGGGAAAAATCAATCGTGATTTGTGAAATCGTTTCAGGCTAGGCAATGACATCATGACATCAATATCGTTTGGTGTGGAAATTGATTCGGTGCATAATACCGATGACGAATTTCTTAAAATGGGAAAACATCTAGCTGCAGATGGTGCATTCCTATGAGTCAAATACTTTCTGTTAACCTTTATTCCAAAAAGCGTCTTCAAATTCTTCGGTATACAATTCTTGCGCCAGGGCGTAGCCGATTTTTACGTTAATGCCGTGTCTAAAACAATACAATATCGTGAAGAGCACAATATTGTGCGACCTGATTTCATCCATCTCTTTGTGCAAGCTCGCAATAACGAACTCAAGGAGGATAGACTGGATGAAAATTTAAAAAGCGCTGGGTTTAGCACGGTCGATGAACACGTCGAAGCGTCAACTGAAAACAGTCATTACTCCGATTTGGACATCGCAGCAGTCGCTGCATCGTTCATCTTCAGTGGTATCGAAACCACGACTACTGTGATCTGCTTTGCCGTGTACGAAATTGTGCTGAACCAGGCTGTGCATGTTAAACTTCAAGCGGAAATCGACTCCGTAAGAGAACAGCTTGGCGAAGATCAACTGACCTACGAAGTTCTTCAAAAGATGATATACCTGGACATGGTTGTATCGGAAACTCTTCGCCGGTGGGCACCAGTTGGAGTCACGAACCGGGTTTGCGTGAAACCATACACCTTCGACGACTACGACGGAACAAAGGTGACTGTGGAAAAAGGACAGCTTGTCCAAATCCCAGTTCAATCATTTCACCGTGATCCAAATTTCTTCCCGGATCCATACTGCTTCGATCCGGAACGGTTCTCCGATGAAAACAAGAGCACAATCAATCTGGACGCTTTCCTTCCATTTGGAAGTGGACCCAGAAATTGCGTTGGATCCAGGTTAGCACT